TTTAAGCACTAAGTTTCGCTTTAACCGAAAATAGATTTATTTCTCTTAATTGTTTCATATATTTTGTTTTTCTTTGCTTTCATACATTTGTTTTTGCTTGATACGCGCATATAGAACAATAATAAGTGACTACAATCCCGCTATTCTTTAAAATCCCTCTATTCAGTTGTAAACTGTAAATTTAAATAGATTTATTCTTTTGTTTTTACAAATATATTTCATACATTTATTACAATAGAAATAAGAAATGTGTACACGCAACATTTCAATATTTTCCTCATTGAATCCATTTTCCTGTTTAGATGATGACTTCGAGACATATTTTTCCTCCGTACGGCAATTTGAATATTCCTGTACGTTCTGGCTTTTTAAATGATGGAGAATCTAGCAGCAGTACGATGCGGAACACATCACCGATACTAGTAGATGCGAGCATAAATAAAGACTCTGGAAACTTGCCCAATACTTCTTCCACGGGAGTAGTTGTTCGCGAGGGACCAAAATATTATTGTCTCAGATCGGTAGTTCAGCAAACGGATTGCTTAAATACAAACGTGTTGGACTGTTCCGTCACATTCAGTGTAGATAAAAATATTTGTGTGGTGGGTGTACAGGTTCCTACGCAAATCGCGGCGGTAAGCTAGAGATTACATATGTAATTACTATATCCGTCCAGTGTATACCGCTCGTACATCTCACTCGTTTTATTTATAGGCGAGTAATTTCACTCACGCTATAGATGCCGATTCGTCTTATACTGAAATTTTATACGCTCACCTCCTCGATTGCGACGGTACCAGATTGACGTATACACATTTCACTACTAAAGCGAATTTTGGTACTCTCGTGGAAATCACTTTCAATCGACCAGTTTACATTCAAAAGCACAAGGTTTGTAATTACAATATAATTGATTTTTCCACTATGTATAATCAAATGTATCTCAAATTCATAAAGCAATATCTTTTTGTATATTCTCAAACATCAAAACTTCTCATTTTTAAGATATTTTTGATTGATAATTGTATTATAATATTCTCTTCTTAACAGGTTTATCGAGTTGGTGTCGTATTTAATAAGGCAGGATGGTATCCAGTAGGAGTTTGCGCCCAAAACATGTCCTGTGATTCTGTGTTCTTCTCGTTCGGTGTGGGTAATACTGCACATGCAGTTCGTGATGGTCTTATTCGATCTATAGTTTTCACATATCATTAACACAACGAAACAGGTGACAGATAAAAAAATACCATATTTTACATTTATTGTGATAAGATAAAAATTTACTCTTATGTTGTACATTATATTTATTATCGTTATCTTATTTTTTAAAGCTCATCGATGTCTTTCATTGCAACTTTTATGACCTTAAAATTGTGTCAATTTATTCATTGGTTCTAAATTGGTTCTATAAAAATACAATTTATTCTATAGAAATTGTTTTCTTTAGTATACGAGTACGGTCAGTATTGATGTTATATTGTACAATGTATTCTTTTTACAAAATGACGAATCTGAATTTGACTATTTAAATGCTTTTATTATCTTGCCCCCTTTTTTACACGATATAAATTTTTTCATATTTCTATTTTTTCAATACAAAAAACAATTCTTAAAAATATAATATAAAAGATAAAAAAAATTGTAACTTAAAAGTTTCACACACAATTTTATGTTTTAATTATATCTGTTGTAAATAAATCACACGCGCGTACGCACCACGCACGCACACGCACACACACACACACACACACACACACACACACAAAATATCTCTTTAAATTAATTACACAAAATACATAGGCTTATACATTTATATTGTTTTTTTTTTTTAATATATATTTGCGATTTCTATAATATCAAATATTATTAACGATAAAACATTTTATAAAATAGAATCAATCTATACATAAATATTTTTATGTTTAACTTTTTTAACTTTTTACAATATTATAAAAGGACTTATATGTCATCCCATATTCGTGGCACTTGTTGCTCCATTATAACAAAATATTTCGTCATATACACATGTGTGCATTTATAAGCAATAACATTTGCCAAATTTTTTTATAAAAATACACTAATATCGTCTGTTTTGTAAATGTCACGTGTTTCAATATATAACGTCCTAATTAAAAAAATATTACATCTTGTATAACACAGGCTTTGTAATACTTAAACCTGGCGAACTCTTACGTTTTATGTACAATGAAATCCCAAGTATCTTTCCATCTTAATTTTATCACGTCCTTGGCAGTGAGAGCTGATGTCCCATAACTAAACACAATGAATTTCTTGAACACATAGATGATAAAAAGTACCCAAGCAATAATACTACATGTTATGATATACAATGAAATGCTCCATGCTGGACGATGTGTGCTGAAATAGAAGATACAATAAATTCATATAATTATTTATGTGAACAATAGTAATAGAATTTAAACTTGCATCTTTAAACTACAAACAACGTACCTAATTAAGTAATACAGGTGATCAATCGTGGCTGCCGTTAATAAGACTTTGAAAATAAAAGCTGGTAAATAGTGATGCAAAAACAAAGTTCGTTCGACGAATAAAAAAGGTAAGAAATGAAGCAAATATCCAGCTAATAGTACATAAGCGTTGTTAACAAACTTTTCCCACTCTTCTTTTGGGATATCAAAACATTGTCTTTTTCTTCTCGTTAAATAGAATGTCAGTAGTGTTACATATACAATTACTGAAATCGTACCAGAGTACCAAATCACAATATTCCCCAAAAGATGCACTTGTGCCTAAAACAATGAGTCAAATATTTACCTTATAAAAACCAGCGAAAATTTAACTGTCTATCGATAAAACGTTCATTAGAAACATTGAAATAACGGGAAAAAATATAAAAAGACAAGAAAAATATCAAATATAATTAAAATATGCTTAATTTCGTCTTAACAATATGTGTTTAGTCAAGCGTTTTCATGTAAAATTTTCCTACTAACATTGCTCTCGTTAGACACCCAGTATGCGATTCCGCGGGACATTAACGGCCACTCAAGAGGTCCACTGGAATACATGTGGCTGTTTTGACCCTCTTGGCCACTAAATAACATCTTGACCTGCAGCTCTGCAAATTTCTCCCAGAAGCTCAATGCGGTCGCCTGCAATGGTATCATTTCCGCATTGATCAGTTCCCGTTCCCGTTGTTTCTGGTCCTCACTTTTAGTATATCGATGTTCTTCAACGTTCCATATGGAATTGGTCTGGTCTATCAGCCGATCCGCCACAACTTCGTGCTGATTGAAACCCCAATCGGGCAGTTGCCTCCCGCTAAACTTCAACGCAAACTCGGCTCCATTTACGTGCACGTGTATCAGCCGCACTTGGCTCTGAATCGCATGCCATGCGTTACCGGAGTGATCCCTGTTTGTGATTTCCACCCGCCATAGATTCTGCGCTGGCATAGACACGTTGTAATCGATGTAACACGACACTTCCTGGCTCTGCGGCGTCATCGGCGCCGCAACATCATGCGAGTTTAACGCTCTGCTCGTGATCCCGTGTACCAATTGAATTACATCGCCATGCCGAATGGGCTCGCTAGGTTTCGTTACTACTAAGTCGTTTTTGTCCGGCTTCTTGACGATCCACCAATTGTTAACATCTTTAAATAAATAACAAGTGACTTGCTGCTGATGAGAGCTGCCACGACCATCGGGATACCGCAACGGATACACTTGATTATGACTGTGCAGCCAACAGGCTCTGCCGTACGTGTGTCTGAGAGTAATCTGCGAACCATGCGTCACTTCCAGAGGCTGCCCTTTCGTGATGCTGGCAAGTCCTCCTTCCAGACTCGCTTGAAATGCACTCGTCATTACTGAGTCGTGTGGTCCTGCCTTCGAGAGTACTGCTAAATGTACGTAGAATATGCTTAAATATACAGCGGCAATAACAGCGATTAATACAACGAATCTTAGGAAAAGATGAATCCACAAGATTGTGTTTGACAGGGTTTTTCTTGAGAGCAAAGACCAATAATCATGAGCGATTAAGAAGAGAGCGAGGGCCATGGAATAAAATCCAACATATTTGACGCTGTAAAAAAATACTTTAATCACATTCAATTGAGAATAAATATAAGAAATGAAAAAAAAGACTGTAATTATACCATATTGCACATGTTAAATTTACAATGCCTAGTATCAGCCATATCCACCAAGACGCTGATGTTGGTTGATCCATAACTTTCCGAAATTTTACAATGCATAACAAGCCGAGCAACGAGAAATGCATCAAGATACTTTCCATCAAGACAAATCTCGACTGTGTCAACAGTGCATTATCTAAAATAGCAAGTATATAAATATATATATATATATATATATATAT